GATAGGAGAAAATATACTTTGTGTTGTTGATAAGCAGAGAACGTCTGATCTAGATGTAGATAAAACAACCAGAGTTTTACATACCCGTACCATATAATGAAATAAGAATTTACTTTGGATATTATTTAAAAAATAATTGAAGTTGTTTTTTTCCTTAGCAATTAGTTTTGAATCTTTGAACAAGTCTAGCTGCAGTAGCTTTGATTTTTGCATAGCCATCTCTCAACTCTGAGTCTAGCTACAGTAGCTTTGATTGTTGCATATCCACTACTTAAGAAATGATAACACTGGAGCTGAATTAACTCAAGTACAAGAATATTAAAAAATATCCCACATTGCTTGTTGACTGTAAACTGGCGATAAGTTTGATGATTTTGGTGACTTCGGGTGACGCTCGACTCACTAACAGTGGCAGCATGTACCGCTCTCCACACTAAGGAGACAGTCAAAACAAAATTTTCAAATAATTAAACACTTGAGAATGACATTTTGCTAACAAGAATATTCAGTTATTGAGTTTCATCCGAGTCAATGAACAATTTTTGGTGAAAAAAATCGTAATGGATTACAACAAAAATAGAAAGATGAAATGTGATAGCACAGGTAAGGATTAGGTTTACAGCTACCAATGGGTGTATAGGGCTACCAATGGTGGGTGTGTAGGGCTGATGATGGGACTCTACAGCTACCAATGGTGGGTGTGTAGGGCTGATGATGGGACTCTACAGCTACCAATGGTGGGTGTGTAGGGCTGATGATGGGACTCTACAGTTAATGGTGGGAGTATAGAGTTAATGATGGGACTCTACAGTTAATGGTGGGAGTATAGAGCTAATGATGGGACTCTACAGTTAATGGTGGGAGTATAGAGTTAATGATGGGACTCTACAGTTAATGGTGGCAGTATAGAGCTAATGATGGGACTCTACAGTTAATGGTGGGAGTATAGAGCTAATGATGGGACTCTACAGTTAATGGTGGGTGTATAGAGCTAATGATGGGACTCTACAGTTAATGGTGGGTGTATAGAGCTAATGATGGGACTCTACAGTTAATGGTGGGTGTATAGAGCTAATGATGGGACTCTACAGTTAATGGTGGGAGTATAGAGCTAATGATGGGACTCTACAGTTAATGGTGGGAGTATAGAGCTAATGATGGGACTCTACAGTTAATGGTGGGAGTATAGAGCTAATGATGGGACTCTACAGTTAATGGTGGGAGTATAGAGCTAATGATGGGACTCTACAGTTAATGGTGGGAGTATAGAGCTAATGATGGGACTCTACAGTTAATGGTGGGAGTATAGAGCTAATGATGGGACTCTACAGTTAATGGTGGGAGTATAGAGCTAATGATGGGACTCTACAGTTAATGGTGGGAGTATAGAGCTAATGATGGGACTCTACAGTTAATGGTGGGAGTATAGAGCTAATGATGGGACTCTACAGTTAATGGTGGGAGTATAGAGCTAATGATGGGACTCTACAGTTAATGGTGGGAGTATAGAGCTAATGATGGGACTCTACAGTTAATGGTGGGAGTATAGAGCTAATGATGGGACTCTACAGTTAATGGTGGGAGTATAGAGCTAATGATGGGACTCTACAGTTAATGGTGGGAGTATAGAGCTAATGATGGGACTCTACAGTTAATGGTGGGAGTATAGAGCTAATGATGGGACTCTACAGTTAATGGTGGGAGTATAGAGCTAATGATGGGACTCTACAGCTACCAATGGGTGTATAGGGCTAATGATGGGACTCTACAGTTAATGGTGGGAGTATAGAGCTAATGATGGGACTCTACAGTTAATGGTGGGAGGAAAGAGCTAATGATGGGACTCTACAGTTAATGGTGGGAGTAAAGAGCTAATGATGGAAGAACCACTCATTATCAGGTCAATCTGAAATTTTATTTAGATAGAAAACCAACACTATGCAATCAATCTTAAAACATCAAAAATTCAAATCAAGTACAAATATGAATCTATTGCTTAAGATGATGGTAAATAATTGTAATCGTGGAAGAGAGCTTCCATCTAAAGGTAAAAGTTTGTAACCATTGTGCACAGAGGTTACGCTTAAGAACGACATGGACGCCACATTAAAGCAACCACTTACCTGTAGAAAAGCCTTGAGGTCCTCAGCTCCCACTGTACTGGCCACGTTAATGACAAAATTTTTCCCATTCGAACCTTTAGTGGCTCTCTGATCCTCATGGAGGGCTTCCACCAGAAACTTCAAATACACACATTTAGTTCAACATAGCAATGACAGAAGAAAGGCCACACCCAAGTGAGGACAACAACATCTATTCACAGCTAAGACCATTTCTTACAAAGTCAGAATATGAGATTTTAAAATAACAGCCATGATGACAAACAGTCTAGACTAAGTTTAGAACAAATGTTGAATTGTCTTATACAAGAGTTGCTTACCTTGTATATGGCCGGCTTGAAGCGGACATAGATTTGTTGCATGGATTCTTTTTTGTAACTTGCAATCTCTTGCAACTGGAAATGTTAAAGTTCAAGGTTGAAAGAAAATTTGACATTGTGTCAGACATCTTAATAGTTATCTTATAAATATCTCATAGATATCTAATAAATATCTTATAAATATCTCATAGATATCTTATAAATATCTTATAAATATCTGATAAATATTATTATTATTATTATAAGTGGTTTTGTATAGCGTGGTACCACAGCCTAGGGCTGGGCTCACCGAGCTGTACATACAATTTAACAAACATAATAAAAAAAACTAAAAAATTAATTGACATACATTAATTAAATAAAAACAAAACAAATGTCTATATAAAACTATTGACATGTCAAGCCATGGACGACATTCAGTCAAGCCATGGACGACACCCAGTAGTATCGTTATTTGGTCAGAGGTGGGAATAAATCAGGATAGTAGAGATTAAAGACATTTGTTTTTAGTGCAGTTTTGAAGGTTGTGATGGTTGGTATATTGCGGATGTGTAGTGAAAGAGACTTTCATTGTTAGGGGCACAGAAAGAGAAGGATCGTTCACCGTATTTTTTGTGCGAGTCTTGGGGACAGAAAGAATACGCACATCTGCGGAGAAGCAAAGCTGTCGAAGGGGTGAATAGACAGAGAGAAGTTTGGTTAGATAGGAAGGGGAGGAATTTGAGAAAAAGTTGTGGCAGAGAACAGAGAGTTTGTAGTCAATAGGTCTTGTACAGGGAGCCAATGAAGTGAATGAAGTAGTGGTGTGACGTGATCACATTTTTTTGCCTTTAGAACTAGCCTAGCAGCTGAGTTTTTAACCTTATGTAATTTTTCTAAGTGTTTTGGTAAACCTGATAGAAGAGATATTGTAACAATAGTCAAGACGAGAGAGAACGAGAGCACAGACCAGGGCTTTTGTTGCACTAACTGTAAGGTATTGGCGGATGGAGCTGATCTGACGGATAGCGGTGTATACACAGCGACAAATGTGAGAGATATGATTGTCGAGAGACATGTTGTTAGACTGAATATCACCAAGATTCCTAGCGGAGAATGTAAACTGTATATCGGAGTTAACATTATGACATGAAGTGGGGAGAGTTGAGGTAGAGGATGATTTGTGGTCGTGAATAAGGACATCAATATCTCAGATATCTTATAAATATTTCATAGATATCATAAATATCTTATAAATATCTTATAAATATCTCATAGATACCTTATAAATATCTTATAAATATCTCATAGATACCTTATAAATACCTTATAAATATCTCATAGATACCTTATAAATATCTTATAAATATCTCATAGATACCTTATAAATATCTTATAAATATCTCATAGATACCTTATAAATATCTCATAGATACCTTATAAATACTTTATAAATATCTCATAGATATCTTATAAACACATTACAGCTTTTGAGGATGTGAAGAAAAATGATGAGATAAAAGTACATTTTCTTTTAAAGAATTTCTTCAACTTACAAGACATCAGTGCTAAATCAGTAGCAACCGTTTTAAACTTACTTTACAAGAAAGCCAATCAAACATTTGATTCTGTGGCTTAATTCCACATATCTTAATCTACAACTTGTACATGAAAACATGTGTATACATATGTACATGAATATGAGTGTATACATAGTATGAAAGAGATCTTACTTCCTCAAATGCAACAGCTGGTGTAGATAAGTAGGGGCTAATTCGAGATTCCAATAATTTGATGACAACTGACTCAAGCAGATCTCCGTCCACAAGTCTTAGAATAAACAGAAAACTAAATGAGTGTTGTATATTGACCAGGTTAAGCAGAGACATGTCCCTGAGATATAAAACTTTTTATGGGAATTAATTTTATAAAATGCAAACAGGTCTTAATTCATTAATCTGTCTGTTAGCAACAGTTTCAAATAGTTTTATTTTTATATGTGACATGTCACTGTACAGTTTTTGGATTAACATTACTTCATATTATATTGTCATAAGCATTGCGGTCTTTCATAATTATATTGTCATAAGTATTGTCATGTTTCATATTATATTGTCATAAGTATTGCCATGTTTCATATTATATTGTTAAGTTTTTTACATTGTCATACATATTGTCATTTTTCTTAACATAATTCAATATTTTCAATGAAATAAATTTAAATTTTCAAATAAATGTAGCCATCTCATGTGAAGTAGTTTAATAGTTTACATTGCATATATTTGCATCATCAATGACTACATAGTGTCAGGGATTCATTCCCCATTTGTAGTAAATTTAAAGGTAAAATTATGAAATTAAAGGATGCCAGAACTGGCATACTCACACTTCACTCATATTGCCAGATCTCTAGTTTTGACTGACATAATACAAGAGATTTCAATTCAGCGCAGAAACTAGTTCAATCTGTTAATTTAAAATCCGAAAGAAAAAGCACGAAGAATGTACCTGCCAAAGTAACCGATTGTTTTGAGAACACTCTCCAACAGACTCTTGTTGTTGTTTGTGTGAGCGGCAGTCCAGACAGTTTCCAATCTCTCCCATACAAGCTGGCATACAGCTCTACTCGTCGCTGTCAGATTGTCACCGACAATGTGGCCAAGCAGAGCACTTTACAGGGGAGTAACGAGAGTGGGCATTATTTCTCAGTACAGTAGGTCCCATTAGAAGTTCTATTTTCAAGTAGTTAAATTAGAAGTTATCTTTTCAAGTAGGTTAAATTAGAAGTTCTCTTTTCAAGTAGGTTGTATTAGATTTTCTATTTTCAAGTCGGTTATATTAGAATTTCTATTTTCAAGTAGGTTATATTAGAAGTTCTCTTTTCAAGTAGGTTACATTAGAAGTTCTCTTTTCAAGTAGGTTACATTAGAATTTCTATTTTCAAAAACAGCAATAAATATAATAAAGAAATGATAAAATCTGTTGGAAAAATAAATGAATCAATTTTACTTATTACCAACACTCCATTCTGACATCCAAGTCATCATCGTCCAGCAGCTCCAAGCAAGAGAGGATCATAGCCTTGACATTTGGACTGTTTAGGTCAAGGATATCAAGTACTTTACTCAGGCTGCAGATAGCATCTGTCCAAAATTTGAATTTTTTTTTTAAAAACCATTGTTTTTAAGATAAGTAATTGTTAGATTCGGCGGCTAGCTGTGTGTTTTGACGAGTATTTGTTAGCTTTTTCTTTATTTCTGACAAACATAAATTTTTAAAATGATGCAACATTCTGCCTACACTTTCTCGTGACTTGGTCTTCTGCTTTCAACAAGCCTAGGAAGGGGGAGATAACTTCTGGGTTCAAAGCTTGTCCTCTCTGACACAACTGTTTTCTGTCAACTGTGAATACATTTGCCCATCATTAAATGTGTGTTTGTCATTTTATAAACTTCAGCTCCATGTGAGGATTCTGTTATAAACTTTAAAGAGCATAACTCATATACTACTGGCCTTGATGCTCTAGTTCTAAATATATGTCATTCTTGACAATAAGGGCAAGTCTCCCATTATGTGCCATCCATAAACACACATCCTGGGAGTGAGCCACACAAATTTGTGACAATGTGTGATAAAAGTGTCCACTTTGTGACGATGAGGTTGTAAAAAATCTGCAAAAATAGCGTGATGTCGTTTATGGGTGGCCCCTTTCCACAAAAAGAGAAATACAGAGTTTAAATATTTTATGTGGGCAATTAAAAGCTTAATGCACAAGAGAGATAGTTGAAGATGCCTTACATTCATTATTGCTTGTAACCACCATATCAGCAAAGTCCAGTGGAAACCCCTTAACATTAACGCTGTGAAATGGAGACAATTCATTTGCAAATAAAACTCATAACATTATAAAATCTTCTTACCGTGCATTATTTTGAATAGTTTTTCACTTATTTTTAAATAATATAGTTGTATATAGTTTAAATAAGGCAATTATATTTGAATTGTTTTAAATATTAATAGTGTTCATAAAGTAACAAATAAATCACATTTTATTTTACAGATTCTCCAGAAACTACTTCATATTAGGATATTTATTTAGTCGCAGCAAGAAATACTTTTTCTTCAGATACAAAGTTTTACAAAATGTATTAATCAGTAGAAGTTTAAATAGTTGTTTTTAATTTCAGAGAAATATCCTTCAAAATACTCAATACTGATGACATAGAACGATATACCATTTAGTTTCCTAGAGTGGTCCTCAAGGTGATGTGGAATGAGACAAAGTACTTCAAACACAAAATAATATTTGTAAAAATATGGTTTTTAAAAGTCTAGTTTTACAATATTAGAATGAAAAAAAATTAACTTAGATGTTCTTTAAAATTTAACTGAATTGACAACATTCAACATACAAAGTCATCTTGGATGCATCCACCATAGTTAATATTAAACAACCAAAAGTTTGGGCCAACAGTTGGAGAACCTCTTTAGATGGTTTATCCAGGAGTGGACTGAAATAAGAGAAAAAAAACATTGCCAGATTTTTGTGTAGATTGTTTATATTATTGTTTTTGTGTAGATTGCCAACATGCTCATCGATAATTTATAACAATTTTAAATATTAGCTCATTAACACAATTATTTGCAAAACTATCTAACATTTAAAAAATTGTAACATCAGTTTTCTCTATCAACGTGCCAATTTTCCTTTTTTAACAGCAATAAAAAAAATTGGCAAAACTTATAACTAGCCTGGTCCCTGGTAACGCAAAGATCTATCCAGAGCCGGCACAACACTTTCGGAGGCCCACTCAACCAATTTTGGGTTTAGTGACCCCTGCATTCAAAGTAGATTTTTAAATTTTGTTTTCTACGTCACAACCTTGGACACCCTTAAATACTTAAATATCTCTAAGCTCAAAGTTTACAAACGATATATCTGTTACCTTATGGTCAGCTAATGGTCAATCTGTAAATAAATGGCTAGCTAACAGTCTGTCTGCAAGCTTATGATCAATTAATTATCTGTAAGGTAATGGTCAGCTGACAGTCTGTAAGTTTATGGTGAGCCAATGGTCTATCTGCGTGCACTTACATTAGTAGATCTTTCACAAGATGGTTACTTTTCTGTCCCATGTTCAGGAGATGATGAGGAAAATATTTGACCACAACATGGGTCACTTCTATCCTGCAATCACCCTGCTTTGAAATTGATGAAGAAAAGGAATGTTAAGGTGATTAGACAATATTTTATTTATAATAAATATGTGAACTGACCACTTATCATTCCCGGAACTGACCACACTAACATCCCCAGTACTGACCACCCCTATCATAACCAGTACTGACCACACTAACATCCCCAGTACTGACCACACTAACATCCCCGGTACTGACCACACTAACATCTCCAGTACTGACCACACTAACATCCCCAGTACTGACCACACTAACATCCCTAGTACAGACCACACTAACATCACTATACAAACCATAGCTTGTGTAAGGACATGTGCTCTCCATGCTACTGAAATTTCCCTGGGCAACAATGACATTGTCTTTAAACACAGGCAGACAGTGCTGACATCTGAAAGAAGAGATTTAACCAGATGTAAACACAGGCAGACAGTGCTGACATCTGAAAGATGAGATTTAACCAGATAACCAGATGTAAACACAACCAGACAGTGCTGACATCTGAAAGAAGAGATTTAACCAGATAAGCAGATGTAAACACAGGCAGACAGTGCTGACATCTGAAAGAAGAGATTTAACCAGATAACCAGATGTAAACACAACCAGACAGTGCTGACATCTGAAAGAAGAGATTTAACCAGATAACCAGATGTAAACACAGGCAGACAGTGCTGACATCTGAAAGAAGAGATTTAACCAGATAACCAGATGTAAACACAGGCAGACAATGCTGACATTTGAAAGAAGAGATTTAACCAGATAACCAGATGTAAACAGACTGCAGATTGACCATAATGTTTGGGAAATTTTTGTTGTTGAAAATATTTATACATTCTAGCACCATCAACGAGGTAGGTAAACACAGTGTGTTAGTCAGGACAGTCTCAGTCTTCATATACAAAGGCTGTCTTCTTGGGTCTTGTAGACATATCTAGCCTAGGTCTATATTATCTTGATGGGCCTTGCATACGTATCTAGCTGGGTTCTATAAGTATGTCTTGTTGACCCCGTAGGCATACCTAGCTCAGGTTTATCTGTCTGCCTTGATGGGCCTTGTAAACACATCTATCTGAGGTTTATATGTCTGCCTTTTTGGGCCACGTATACACATCTAGCTGAAGCCTGTCTAGCTGTAACTCTTTGTACATATATAGCTTGGATCTATATGCTTGTATAGCTGTGACTTTGATGCCTGTATAGCTGTGAATTTGATGCCAATCCTGCTGTGCCTTTGGTAGAACATGTGTCATAACTAAGTCAATTGTCAAGAATGATGAACTCATGTCAGTGTTCAGACTACCAGTGTTCAGACAACAGACTACCAGTGTTCAGACTGCTAATGTTCAGACAACAGACTGCCAATGTTCAGACTATCAGTGTTCAGAGTACCAGTATTCAGAGTACCAGTGTTCAGACTGCCAGTGTTCAGACTACCAGTGTTCAGACTACCAGTATTCAGAGTACCAGTGTTCAGACTACCGGTGTTCAGACTGCCAATGTTAAGACTTTCAGTGTTCAGACTACCAGTGTTCAGACTGCTAATGTTCAGACAACAGACTATCAGTGTTCAGACTATCAGTGTTCAGACTGCCAGTGTTCAGACTGCCAGTGTTCAGACTGCCAGTGTTCATTCAGAGTACCACTAATGATTGTGTTACCAGACTCACCAAACTTGTCTGCCAGCTTTTCTCCAATGGCTGCCACATCTTTAGGGTTTGTCGGCTTCATGTCCTTCCAAGAAAGTTCATTCTGTGTGATAGATTGATACAACTGACAAGTACATTGTAAATGACAAGTAAAGCTGGTGGTGTGTTTTAAAAAATAAAAACATCAGTTATATTTATTCTTTGATGGGCATTGTTTAAAACCCAAGTAATAAATCGTTAATAAAGATATGCATCATAACAATCACCACATCAAAGGCTTGTCTGTTTCACTGCTAACTGCTCTGATTAGAATTGATCTCGTAACATGACAAGTCTACTACGCCCATTGTTTGCTGTGTGTATTCAAATATTTAGCATTACATCCCCGTACCCAACATATCAAACTGGAGATACACAGTACAAATACCATTGACCTTATGTTTGTTTGAACCACAGCAGTATCATAAATTGATAATTAAAATAGGAATTGTGTCATGTATTGAAATCAACTTACTGCCAGATGTTACAACAGGTAAATTGTTTAATATTGAAATCAACTTACTGCCATATGTTACAACAGGTAAATTGTTAATATTGAAATCAACTTACTGCAAGGTGTTACAAGAGGTAAATTGTTTAATTTTGAAGACCACTTACTGCTATCCATGGCAGAGTAATGATCCACGCAAACTGCTGAAGGACATTGCCAGGTATTGGTCGAATATCTGTAGCAAACAAAATCTTAGACGTTTTAAACAACTACAGATTATAAAGTGCTGATTCGGCAAACAATCATTTAACAATTTCAAAGCCATTGTATAGTTGAAAAAATATCTAAATGATGGTCTCAAACTCAATGTTGCTAACATGAGTAAGACCCTGGCGGTGCGTGATCTCTTGGGGGAAAAACCTTTACTCAAGGGGACCCCTGATGGAGCATTGTTGGTTTAGTTTTCTTTTGAACATAAGAATAAACAAAGGCAACACGACGCAGATTTCTCAGTAACTATAAAATATATGATTATGAAGATGATTGTGATGATGTTAAAGATGATATCAAAGAAACTTTGGATATTCCAATTAAGTCTCAAAGAGTTAATACTGAAACATACAGAAACCATTATCTGAAGTATAACAATGAAACCAACATAATCTTTGACTGACCATTTATAAGGAGCACCATGGCCAGAGACTGAAGGATTTTTTTGTAGCTTTCCAGGAATGTAGTAGTTGCATCATCACCATGGCAACCAAATCCATGCAGGTAACGGGTCCAATACTCAAGCGACGTGTGCATCACA